AGTTTATAGCACACTGACTATAGCAAACTAATAATAGATACTCTCTTTTTTGTGCGTCGCGTTGGTTATATTTGTAGGCGTGTGGAGGTTTTATAGAAATTTCAGTTTTACGTAACAATACTGGCGCTAACACAAGCATTTACGTACACATATTGTTGATTCTTACTCTCAAGAATTGTCTACAACTTTGGACAATAGGCGGGAGTTTCGCAATATATATTTACATTTTTGTATGTTTCTAAATATAAATTTAATCCAAACAAACGTTGATATTAAAATAAATATATAATAACAAATTCGTTACAATTGAAAGTCAAGGTGTAAGCAAATCTAGATTTTTTTTCGTTTGTAAGTTGATTGGCTAAAACATTTATCTCTCTAAGCTCTTTAACATATTTGATCAGGCCTAATCTATTTGTTTAGAAGTAATCTCATCGCTATTATGAATTTTTAGTTCCATAGCAAGATAGATGCGATAATTGTGCTTCACCTCAAAGACCTAATACGTTTAATTATGTTAAACTAATCAATCGATATTGATCTTTGTGATATCTGAATCACGATAACTACTCTAAGGCAACTTTTTAACTCTTAACACACTATGAAATTTTCTAGATGAAGTTTTATTTTTTGAAGCACGGCCTGACTAATATGCTTTGGTTTAGTGAAGTTGTATAGTGTATTGTTTTTTCAGGATGTTTTATTTGTTCATATTCTAAATAAAATTATAAAAAGCTACTAAAACTGTACGTGCCAATTTTCAGATGAATATAACAAAAATATGGGAAACCCTAGAATTAATGACTGACTTTTATTTTTCTATGATCCTACACTTTTTCCGAGTATCATGAACAAAACCTCAAATTATATCCATAAACTCAACAAATTTGCTTAGTATTTACAGTTTGGTGAGAGTTATGGGATTGTTTCTTTGTTTTTTTTATAATATATGATCTTATAAATTTTATGTTAATGGAGATGATTTAAACTGATCACTAAATTAATTGTGGCCAAAAAATTGAGCAACTTAACTTTTTGAAGTAATGTTAATGACTTTTTTTTTTCGTGCCACCAGTTTAGCTGTAGGTTTGCCATTACTTTCAGTGATTACTTTTGCTAGTTTAAAGACATTAATTAGCTGCATACTTATAGAAAGATTCTTACAAATCAGATATTAATAAATTGCAACACTAACTAAAAATGTGAGAAACAGCTTTACTCCAGTATTTTAAACTTAATTATGATCTCTTAATTTATGATGAACAAAATTATGACTTTTTACAAAATAATACTTCTTTGATGCTGTCACTGTAATCGTATCCACGTGATGATGTTCGAAACTCTCTGACCTTCGTGGTAAAATATTATTGTGAGTTTCATACTAATTTCGATTAGACATTCTCAGTATCGAGAGACAGGACCCGGACTTCGTTTCAGAATTTCGTTAATAGTAGTTTTTTCTTCCTTTTCAAATTAAAACAAAATTCAGAGGTTCAAATATTGATAAAGATTTGAACTTGTTTGGTAAAGGGCCTTGAAATACCTTACCAAGTTAGCTTTAACATTTAAATCTTAAAATTTCAAGCCCATCCATTTTTTAGATTATTTGTTTAGAGTAAGAAACAATTCTCGTCCAACATTAGCATTTTGTGTACTGTTTTCCGAGCTGAGACAACATTCATGCATTCCGCTTGTTTGCAGAAAATTATTTTCATTCGTCATAAGTGCTGACATTTTCTCGTAAACAATGGAAAATAGTTAGAAAAAACAGTTAGTGTATTATCTATATTAGCATTTTATGTGTATTGTTAATAATGCATGTTTTACGTTTCGTTTAATTGAAATTTGGCTGGCTTCGAGGTATAAATAACTCATTAATAACAAAATGCCATTAAATGTAATTCATTATTTCATTATAAAAATATATTCCTTTAAAGTTAATTGATTAGTATAAATTCCTATTTCTGTATGAAAATAAATTTTCAAAAAGTCACCAACTTAAATCATAAATTGCATTTGACAAATATATACATTGTATATATCTAGATCTT